CCGCAGGCGAACCCATCCCGAAGTTGCACACTTTTGTTTATTTACTCTTCGTACTAATCATCCTTCTTTTTAAACTCTGAAACTCGAATCGCTAAAATATTTAATCGCGAATTGGTCCAGATTCAGAAATCCCTAACAACTTTACCCTCTAAAATTAGCTGTTCTACAGTACCCCCTTCCCAATCCATAACGAATATATTTCGTTTCCTGAAAAAAATAAGTATAGGATATTGACCAAGACTAGGTCTATATATTTCCCATATAGACCGAAGTCGAGGTCAATATCCTATTTATCACGATTCCTTTGCCATAACCCCAAAATTTGAACCTTTAGGAGCTATTTTAACCTTTTTAGTATAGCATTTGTACTATAGTGTACATAGGATGTTGCCTATTTTGAGTACAAGACTGTAAGAACAACAGGGTTCAGCATCTGCAGCACAGTGGCTGGGTGGTATAAGGGGTTGCTTAAGATTCATACTGTTGTGGGTTCGAATCCTGCTTGTTCTCTTCCTTTGTCTTCTTTCTTTCAAATTTTCTTTTTGAAAAAGTGGAGAGAAAAAATCTAAGTCCCTCCAAAATCGAAAGATTACAATGCCTATTAAAGTGGTCGATACAAGCGGTCAATATAAGCGGTCGATATTACGGCGATATGGGTAATATAGGACCAGTCAAGGATCACGAGAATTAGTGGAGGTCGATATAGAAGAGTGAAAACAAAGGGATATAGACTACAATCAAACCTCTCGATCATTTTATAATATTTTGTTGTAATCCATATCCGAGTGTGATGATGATTTGTGACAAAGTAAGACATTAGTAAACATAGTACACGCTTCTGCACAATCCACATTAGTCCAAATGCACACTGGGAAATTTTAGAACCGAACGTTTTCGTTCCTTTCTCTTCATGGGCTCTTTATGCAGGGAATAAAGCAAAAATAACTAAGACAGCAATTTTATGGGCAATATTGCCCCCGTAGGCGACGTTGGCGACAAGCAACACCTGTCGTATGCAGCTTACTTTGTATCCACTGCTACACTTTCTGTAGTCTGGGCTTCATGTATGACTAACACTGCTATTGATGTATTGACTTTCAGTCGGCTCCAGTTACAACTGCCGGTACACATGATACATGAACTGTCTGACCCCTTTCATGCATTCGTATGCAGCTGTCACCTAACACCACTTTTGTCATCTACTTGTACTAGTATGTATCATTTGCCGCTACCCTAGGATCGGGATTGTAGTCCGTGATCCGTAGGCGTAGAGGGGGCTTGTTTTCCTTGGTGTGTTAGAGTTTCAGGTTCCTGCTTCGGTGGTGCAGGTCACTAGTTTTGGTCTTGTTTTAGTTGAGTTAGCTGTTTGGCATGAGAATGAAAGAGTAATAATACAGTCTTCTTCTAGTACAGTAACGACGTTACGTTTGTGGAATGGTGAATCAAGACGAGAGGTAAAAACATTGGTCCTTCGAGAGCCGGATTCGAACCAGCCGGACGGAAAGATAATGGACGTCGACAAGCGGCACAGTGAACAGGTCAGGCGATCTCAACGTGAGACCAAAGGCCGGAAGGTGAAGCCGACTTGTTGCAGCAGGAGCGACAATATCATTAACGTTGTCGCAGGCAGCGTCGCGGAGGAAGCCGAAAGTATCTCCTCCTCGACACTGAGTCAATTCTCGAGTGTTTCTCGACGCTCTTCGAGCAGTGCTGCTGAAGCCAGGAAGCGGAAAGCGGAGCTGGTGGCAGCGCAGCGTGTGGCTGCACTTGAAGAGGAGGCGAGAAGCCATAGGCTGGAAAGCGAGAAGAGACTCTCCAATCTCCAGCTTGCCGCGGACCTGGCGGCGATTCAGGCCGACGAGGAGGTAGACAACGGAGGCACAGCAGCACCCGTGCTCGACTACGGCCACAGCGAGAGGGCAATGGACATGCAGGAGTCACACTACTTCGTGAGAGACGGTGAAGAACCAGTATCTGCTCAAGACGCAGAACAGCACCCACAGCACGAGGAGGTCGAAGTGACTCAAAGTGTCATGCCAGCCCAGGGGTACACGGACAGTGACCCACATGACGCGGCTACTCCAGCAGTAACTCCAGCCACCAGCCTTGTGCAGCCTCTGTGTGCTGCGGAGATAAGGATCCAGGAGTTGAAGGGGCAGCTGAAGTTATGCCGACAGAACACTGGCTCCATTGAGCGAGCCTATGACGACAAGCTCACTGTGGAGCTTGAAGAAAAAAGACGACTGAAAGACGAACTCCAGCTACAGCAACAGACGATTGCAACCCTGAAGCAGCGGATCTTCCAGGAAGACGCGAGGCATGCTGACCAGGTGCAGGTGATCAAGTCCCTGGAGGGAGATCTTGCCAAGGCCGAAGCAAGCAACGACTGTCTCCAAAGTGACTTGGTAGCCAGAGACCATCGCATCAGCCAGCTCACCAGCACGTCATGCGACCTGGAGGACCAAGTGCAGAATCTAGAGTATGAGCTGGAGGAGACCAGAGCTCAACTAGCAGTCACGCAGGTGGACATGGCACCTTCCAACCGGGAAAGGCGCGAGCTGCAGACCAAAGCGCAAAGTGAGCCACGTGGTGCGGCCGGTGCCGACACCCCCACATGCGATCTACCTTCATCCAAGAGCACTGGAGCAGGGTGCTGTGACGATGGACCCCCGAAACGACCAGCACGTACTGATGGTCCTGCTAGCCTGCAGACGCAGGCCACATCTGGTGACAGCATACAGACAGCTGTTGCATCGGCAGTGTCACAGCTGGCCCAGGTATTGTCGGACAAGCTGACGCCACCAAGGGCGACCACTCCAGCCCACCAGAACACCTCGGACAAGGACCGGCGGAGAATGATGGCTAGACAATCAGCCACAAAAGACCTGCCGGCCTTCAACGGTGATCTGACAGCATGGCCGAGGTTCAACCGGACGTTTACGGTCTCCACTGCAGAGTGTGGTTTTTCCAACCAGGAGAACATGACCCGTCTGCAGAGAGCCTTGAAGGGAAAGGCTTTGGACAGTGTGAAGTCAATGCTCGTCATACCAGACAACATTGATCGAGTGATGCACACTCTCCAGATGCGGTTCGGCCAGCCGGACCATGTGGTCCAGTCCATGATTGCCCAGGTCAAGACCATGCCTAAGTTGCGAGACGACGACTTCGAGCTGCTTATTGACTTGGCGAACTCGGTTAGCAACTTGGTGTCGACCATGGAGCTCCTCAAGAGCACAGGCCACTTAGCTAACCCACAGCTCCGCGAGGAGATCGTGCAGAAACTACCGAGCAGCTTGACCCGTCAATGGGGAGAGCACGTAGCAGAGTGCAAAGATCCAGTGACGATGAAAACACTGGCAGAGTGGCTCGCAAAGAGAGCAGATGCGCTCTGTTGTGTTCGGAGGCTCGACACGACGGCAGCAAAGTGTGTGTCAACAGGCAGCAATATGAAGCCGCCACCGACAGAGCGGCCAGCGGCAGACTGCCTTCGTGGCCAGCGGCAGACTGCCTTCGTGGCCAGCGAGAGAAAGTGCGACTTCTGCGGACGGGCAGGCCACAAGGTGGCTGAGTGCCGAGAATTCACACGCAAGACGAGCAACGAACGCTGGAGATGGGTCAAGACAGAATGACGATGCTTCACCTGCCTTGGCCAGGGCCACCGCACTAGAGAGTGCCCTGACAGTACGCCCTGTAAGAAGGATGGCTGTGACCGGCTTCACCATCCGATGCTGCACCCACCAAAGAGGAAGGACGATGTCGAACGCACGAATCTAGCTAGCGCCCAGCAGCAAAGCAGAGTCGTCCTGAGGACAGTGCCGGTAGCAATCCGCGGACCGAAAGGTGTGGTGAACACGGCAGCACTACTGGATAAAGCATCACCGGTCACCCTGCTGGATTCAGACATCGCAAAGCAGGTGGGCGCAGAAGGGCCATGTAGGCCATTGACGCTAGCATGGACGAACTATTTGTGCCAGCAAGATCCTGACTCCAGGGAGGTCACGATCACCGTGAGCGGTCAGGACGGAGACCTCCTCGTCGGCCCGGCCTGTGCGTGAGCTGCACCTACCAGCCCAGCATGTCGACATCAACCATCAGCGACAGCGTTGGCAACACGTGAGCAGCGCAGACATCCCTCTCAGCGCGACAAAGAAGCCGCGCTTGCTTATTGGCCAGGACAACTGCCATGTTATCTTGCCCAGGGAGACGATCGAGGGCCCACCCAACGCACCCACACTGAGCCGGTGCAAGCTGGGGTGGTCGATACACGGCCAACTCGGTGGCGCTGATCAGGTCCTGCATGCCCGACTTGACGGCACGGCAGAAGAAGGCAGCGCCGAGGACACGGATATCGGCCTCCACCAACAGGTGAAGCACTACTTCACCACAGAATCGTTCGGTGTACAAGTCCGCAGCGAGAAAATACGCTCGTGACAGGAAGCGAAGGCGGAAAGGATCCTGGAATCCACCACGAGACGTATCGGGGAACGATAAGAGACCGGCTTGCTGTGGCGAGACGCTGACGTAAGCCTACCGGAGAGTAAAACGTCAGCAACGCGCCGCCTCCTGTCCATTGAATGCAAGATGGACAGGAACCCTGCATTCTCTGAAGCGTACTGCGCCAAGATTGCACAGTATATTGACGATGGATACGCCACCAAGCTCACACCCTCCCAGCTCCAGATGCCTTCTCAGAGAGTGTGGTACGTGCCACATTTTGGAGTGACAAACCCCAACAAGCCAGGCAAGCTCCCCCAGTATTTGATGCAGCTGCGCCAAGCCACGGGGTCAGCCTCAACGATGCCCTGCTGTCAGGCCCCGACTATCTCAACCCTCTCACCAGTGTGCTGTTCAAGTTCGGACAACACCGCGTGGGGTTCGGAGGGGACATCCGACAGATGTTTCACCAAGTGCACATCCGACCTGACGATCAGCCTGCACAGCGGTTCCTTTGGCGAGGCAGTGACAGAGACCGTGAACCTGATGTCTACCAGATGAGAGCCATGACATTCGGCGCTGTATGTTCGCCAGCATCAGCCCAGTATGTAATGCGAAGAAATGCAGACAAATTCCGGCACAGCGCGCCAGATGCAGTTACTGCAATCCATGACAAGCACTACATGGACGACTACTTCGACTCGATGCCGACGGCAGAAGAAGCAGCCCAACGGATCAAGGAAGTGAGTCAAATCCAAGAAGCCGGAGGCTTCTCCATCAGAGGCTGGGTCAGCAACTCACCTGATGCTCTTGCTGCCGTACCCCCAGATATATGCTCACCATCAGTAGTCACTATTAGCGGCGACAACGAGACCGTAGTGGAGAAGACGCTCGGTCTGAAGTGGTTGCCAGGAGAAGACGCGTTCGGCTTTCGTCTGAGCCGTAGACTGGAGCAAAGCAACACAACAGAAGTGACAAAACGTGAAGTCCTACGCAAGCTGATGTCTGTGTTCGACCCCCTTGGTTTCTTCACCTACTACACCACGTCGGCTCGCATTCTGCTACAAGACATTTGGCGCACAGGCGTCGGATGGGACGAGCCCCTACCAGGACCTCTCGTCCAAAGATGGACGGACTGGTGGACGGGAGTGCACAACCTCGGAAGCAGGTCAATTCCGCGTTGCTACTGCACGGCTATTGCGGACAGAAAGGACCTGGAGCTTCACGTGTTCGGAGACGCCAGTGAGTCGGCATTCGCCGCAGCAGCCTACTTCAGGCTATCGCTACCTGATGACAGCACCAGAGTCGCATTCGTGTTTGGCAAGTCCCGAGTTGCACCACTGAAACCCATATCCATACCGCGGCTGGAGCTGCAAGCTGCACTGATGGCCAGCAGAATGGCCGACACTGTCCGGAAAGAGCATGATCTACCTATCGACTGCATCGTGCTCTGGAGTGACTCTATGACTGCCCTACGATGGATCCGAGCAGACGCCCGGCGATTCAAGCCATTCGTAGCACATCGTATCAGAGAGATTGAGGAGCTCACTGATGTATCGCAATGGCGGTGGGTCCCGACACACAGCAACCCAGCAGATGCAGCAACCAGAGCCCCACCTGAGACATGAGCAGCGCAGCACATCTGGACGCATGGTCCTGAGTTTCTGACCAAGCCAGAGTCTGAGTGGCCAGTAGAGAATCCTGGGCGAGACACTACCACCAGCGACGACCAAGCCGAGATGAAGGCAGAGTTTACTGCGGTAGTCACCAAAGAAGCGCAGCTAGCCCTGCCAGATATCAGCCGCTTCTCATCCTGGATTCGGCTGATGAGAACGACAGCATGGATCGTCAGATACGTCAACAACCTGCTTGCGAAAGCGTCAAGCAAGCCCACAGTCACTTGCTCTGAGTTGCTGCCATCGGAGTACCAGCAGGCCCAGAAGCTGTGGTGGAAGAAAGCACAGCAAGACAGCTTCCGGGAGGAAATTGGCGACCTGCAGAAGCACAGCAATGTGAGCAGCAGCAGCAAACTTTGAGACCTCTCACCTGTGCTAGATAGCGACGGTGTGGTGAGAATGCATGGCTGAATTCGAAGTGCGCCACCCGGAAGTCCACTGACGCCCGAGCCTGTCATCCTGGACCCGTCGCACCCATTCACACAGATGCTCCTTCAGCAGTACCATGTCTGGCATGGACACCATGGTCAGGATAGTGTGGCAAACGACGTCCGCCAGACGTATTGGGTCCTGAAACTACGCACAGCCGTCCGCCGTACCTGGACCGTATGCCAGCAGTGTAAAAATGAACGCGCGCAGTCAACACCACCTCAGATGGGACAGATTCCCGACGCACGCGTTGCCACGTTCATCCGCCCGTTCACACATTACGGCATGGACTATTTCGGGCCACTGACAGTCACTGTTGGACGACGTCACAAGAAGCGGTACGGCGTGATATTCACCTGCCTTACGACCCGAACTGTACACCCGGAGCTGTCACACGACTTGACAACAGGCTGTACCATCATGGCAATTCGCCGGTTGATCAGTCGCAGAGGGTGCCCTGGAGTTATCTACTCGGACAACGGCACCAACCTACGAGGTGCAGCAAGAGAACTCAAGGAATCATTGGACCAGCTGGACCAGACACGCCTCACAGCTGAGCTCACACCGAGAGGAATCAAGTGGGAGTTCAATCCTCCGGCAGCCCCGCACATGGGGGGAGCGTGGGAGCGACTAGTGAGGTCTGTGAAAACCGCCCTGAGAGCCGTGCTCAAGGAACGTGCTCCGCGTGAGGATACACTCATCACGCTACTTACAGAGGTTGAGGCGATACTCAACAGCCGGCCGCTCACACATGTGTCCTTTGACCCAACTGACGACAACAGCCTGACGCCGAACCACTTCCTCCTAGGGACGCCATCAGCAGCACCAGTGCCCGGAGTATTCAGTGGTGATGACCTACATCTGCGCCGGCAGTGGCGCATCGTGCAAGTGCTAGCAGACCATTTCTGGCGCCGCTGGATTAAGGAATACTTGCCAACGCTAGCCCGGCGAACCAAATGACACGGAAGAACAGAGAAGAAGGTGGAAGTAAGGGATGTGGTGGTCATCGCCGACGACAACGCAGTGAGGAACACATGGCCGAAGGGGATAGTGACGGCGACCTATCCCGGCAGAGACGGCCTGGTGCGGGTAGCAGATGTCAAGACCCAGACTGGTGTGTTCCGCCGGCCGGTAGCCAAGCTCTGCGTGCTAGATGTCTGTTGTGTTAGTGACGGATATATCGTCACTGGGGAGAGGATGTTGCCCCCGTAGGCGACGTTGGCGACAAGCAACACCCGTCGTATGTAACTTACTTTGTATCCACTGCTACACTTTCTGTAGTCTGGGCTTCATGTATGACTAACACTGCTATTAATGTATTGACTTTCAGTCGGCTCCAGTTACAACTGCCGGTACACATGATACATGAACTGCCTGACCCCTTTCATGCATTCGTATGCAGCTGTCACCTAACACCGCTTTTGTCATCTACTTGTACTAGTATGTATCATTTGCCGCTGCCCTAGGATCGGGATTGTAGTCCATGATCCGTAGGCGTAGAGGGGGCTTGTTTTCCTTGGTGTGTTAGAGTTTTAGGTTCCTGCTTCGGTGGTGCAGGTCACTAGTTTTGGTCTTGTTTTAGTTGAGTTAGCTGTTTGGCATGAGAATGAAAGAGTAATAATACAGTCTTCTTCTAGTACAGTAACGACGTTACGTTTGTGGAATGGTGAATCAAGGCGAGAGGTAAAAACAGGCAAAGAAAACGTTCGGTTCTAAAAATTCTCTGCGTTCATTTGGACTGGTGTGGATGCATTTACATACTATATTGAAGAATTGGAGACGCTTCCAATTTGTTCTAGACCTCTATGAACGACCCCTAATTACGCAGAGCGAAACCCGGTCCGCTCGAGTCGCCTCGTACTTCTTGGCACCTTCATTAGCTTCCTTGTTATTGAGCACCTCTGCCCGATTGGTCACTGTCAATGAAAATAAAACAAACAACAACACATCGTCCTTTTCCAGTTGCTCACCTGTCTGTGGCAGGCCTACAGTAGCGTTTCTACTTCATACTCTCCAACATCACACCTACTACTCCTCTTCCTTTCCCTGCTCAATGATTGGAGGGCGGGAGGATCAGCGAGAGAGGAATCATATCTAGCGTCTCTCCTCTTTGCCATTTCCACCTGTGCACTAGTCAGCAACAAACTCAGTTCTAGCGGGAAACACTTTGCGCATGCGCATGTCGACGATGTCGCGGATCGTCCGCGGCCTTGAAAACATCGTTGCCTGAGTGAAATCCCCAGGTCGGGGGCAACCGATCATAATTTTGCGAAAAGACAAGAAGTACAGGTGTCGCTTATAGATGCTGCATTTCGCGCAATGCCACCCAGCCTTGCACTATCTTATAGATGCTGCATTTCACGCAATGCCACCCAGCCTTGCACTATCTTATAGATGCTGCATTTCGCGCAATGCCACCCAGCCTTGCACTATCTTCTAGATGCTGCATTTCACGCAATGCCACCCAGCCTTGCACTATCTTATAGGTGCTGCATCTCACGCAATGCCACCCAGCCTTGCACTATCTTATAGATGCTGCATTTCACGCAATGCCACCCAGCCTTGCACTATCTTATAGATGCTGCATTTCACGCAATGCCACCCAGCCTTGCACTATCTTATAGATGCTGCATTTCACGCAATGCCACCCAGCCTTGCACTATCTTATAGATGCTGCATTTCGCGCAATGCCACCCAGCCTTGCACTATCTGCATGAACAGCTGTCTTGTGTTGGAGGATTTTGGTCAAAGACATTTGAATGTGTGTTTGTCTTGTGTTGGAAGAGTTTAGCCCAGAGCAGCTGACTGTGTGTTGTCTTGTGTTGGAGGATTCTAGCCCAAAACAGCTGAATGTGTGCTTCGATACTGACACGATGAGCTGCAATGGAGAGTATTCTGTCAGTCAATGGTGCGACTCATTGTGCCTGAGAAATATAACATTATGGCTAGCCATGGGGCATGATAGAGCACGCAAGGCAATGAACGTGACTACACAAATACAGTACTGTGAGAGGTGTGCAGGAGTCCAGCCATAGTGATAGTGTTAAATATTAAGGAGTGTACATATGCACACATACGCAACTCTTCCAATTAGGGAAAATCATTTGGCTAGGAAGACGCGCTTTAGCTACGAGAGCCCTGCGTTGATATTTTCAATACAAATACCGTTTATTCTCTATTATAAGCACATGTCTCCACTACTAGCAGAGTCTCTAATACTAGCACACTGTGAGCACCTTTTGAAACATTATAAGCACGGTCTCTATTATTAGCACAGTCTTGGTGGAAATCAAAGCTGCATGCATGATATATAGCATGTATTTCTTCTTGCTCTGGATGGATGTATTGATTGAATAATATAGGCGTGGTCTGCAACACAAGCGCGGTCTCCATATATGAGCCAGGGACTATAGAAACCGACCTACGACGTTTGATATCAAAATCAAGTTATGACGTTTCAAAGTCACGTGACTCAAAGTTACGCGAAGCGCAGAACTCGTCACTTTTGTTTCGACAAGACTCAAGAGCTGTCCTCTTGTTATGTTGATTAGGTGTTTGGTGAAGACAATAGGATTCCGAGTGATTGTCGAGTAACTCAAGAGGCTCCACTTCCTGTGATTGATAATGGCTACAACATCTAGTAGGCGACGCAGCTCAATTCTGTGTGGAGTTCCTGATGCGCGAAGGCGCTTGAATCGGACGACGAGAAATTTTACGGATTCAGCGCTGGCACCCGCGAGTCGTCCGCGAGCGATTCCGACACCGATGCTGACAGCGACAGCGATGATATGCCACCTAAGAAGAAGACGTATGGAGTCGCAGCAAGCTCGAGTGCTGCTATAGTCTGTTTCAAAAAGATTTACAATCAGGTTTGGGTCTTAAAAAGTATGAAGATAAGGGAACTTTGGACAACAAAGTACATAGAATGGCTTGTTAGGACACGGTAAATTGTTCTGTGAAGGTTTCGGAACAATTGGACCAACCGTTAAGGAGTTAGAATTTCGGCCAGGTTTCCGGCCTTTTCCCATGGTTTACAATTTGCCCAGGAATCCAGTATCGATTTTTACCAAAACCCACGATTTATCCTTTCCTTTTTGGCCTTGTGGTTATGAATGCTGTCTGCTGACCATGAAGTTTTGAGTTCAAATCCCAACCTATCCTCAAGTCAAACTTTTTTTCATTGTTTTGGTGATCAAGCTGGTACAAGACAAAGAAGATGGCTGCACCAAACGACTTGTTGTTGGAGCTCGCGCTTCCTGCCGAACTGACTGACACTTGACTGGCTCACGCCATGTGAACACACCCACAACACTGCAATGGTGTGAGTGAGTGAATTATAATGGAAGTCATCGCGCTGTAGCTTTTTGAGATTTATTTTAGTATTTCAAGATCGCCAATTTATTTGAATTTAGCTTTCAACGCCATCTTCTATCAGCGTTCACAAGCGTCTGCTTTTCTCAAAATGTCATCGAAGTCACACGGATAGCTTTGCGAAGTCATGGCCTTGGGAATGAGTCCGTGTC